TTCTGAACGGTGTTGGAGTTTTTGGTCGACTGCTCGCAAATTGGACAGCTGATCATGTCGGTGCCATCAATGTCTTCGCACCGCACTCGTTCTTTGCTGGAGTGATACTCTTTTGCTGGGTGGGGGTCACCAACAAGCCTAGTCTGTACGTATGGTCCGTCTTTTATGGTATTCTCGCCGCTGCTATTCAGAGTCTCTTCCCCACTGGTATCTCTCTGCTGACTGAGGACTTGAACAAGATTGGTGTTAGGATGGGAATGGCCTTCACGATTGCGAGTTTTGCTTCTCTTGCGGGACCACCTGCTGCAGGTGCAATTATCGATGCAGAACATGGCTTTAAGGGTGCGCAGGCGTTTGCTGGTACATCGATGTTGTTGGGTGCATTGTTTCTCATTGCAGCCAAGAAGAAGAGGATGGCTAGACTTGGAACCGGTTGGTTTGACAAGTGCTGAGTTGGTCTTAGTTTGGAACGGCAAGTAAGTGTGAAAGATGGAAAGGGATAAGTTGGCGGTTTGTACCTGTCCTTTTCATCAGCTAACAGGTTGTCTAAATATCTCAATAAAATTCGATTTAGAGCACCAATCATGTCCATTGTAGTGATTTGCCATATATAGCTGATTATTGAAACTCGAATAATGCCCCCATCCCCCCTCCTTTGCTGTGGCTAACTAGTAGGTTTTGTCGACTCCCCGATAGTACTTAGATTTGTCTTCAATGAACTACAGTCAATCATTGTCTAGTCGTCCAGTTTGACGATTACCTTTCCAACCTGCTTGCCTTGCCAAACATACGCGATTGCCTCATCTGCCTTATCGAAAGACCAAGTTGAGTCAAGGATATCCTCGAAAGTCATCTGTGTTGCAGAGATGGCAGCCATAAGTTCATCCTGATCATCCTTAGATCCCGCGTTGATACCACGAACGTTCAGTCGCCGATCGATGATAGTGGAAACAAACTCCTTTAAATGCTCAGATTTAGGGCCGCCCAGATAACCAACTTGGCTGACAATGCCTCCACGTCGAGTGCACTCCATGGACTGAACGAGAGAACTGCTGCCACCGTTCTCAACGATGAGATCAACACCGACACCATTTGTCAGACGGAGAACTTCCTTGTGCCATTCTGGGTGGGTCTTGTAGTTGACGGTTTGGATTTCTGGCTTTCCGAATTGCTTCTTGATCTGTTCCAACTTTTCATCACTTGAGGAAGTAAGGATGACCCGAAGACCAGAAGCGCGAGCCAGCTTGAGAGCAAAAGTGGAAACGCCGCCAGTGCCTGAGATTTGTTACTCATTGCCTTATCATTAAATTTCTGTGAAGGAACTTGCCTTGGATCAAAACTGTTTGCCCGATAGTAGCGCCCTTGAGAGCAGACCAAGCGGTCGTTCCAGCACAAGGGATGATCGAAGCCTGAATCCAATCAAGATGCTCAGGTAATTTCGTCACCAACTTCTCATCAAAGACAATGTAAGTGGCCAAGATGCCATCCTCATTGGCCGCGAGCCAAGATCTTCCCGTCGAGCGAGCATTCACAAATTCTGAGTCCGTGATCGGAGCAACACGATCGCCAACTTTGACGAGTGAGACTCTATTCCCGACTGAAACGATCTCACCGGCAGCATCATTACCAGGAATACCATTGGGAGTAACGGGCCAGGGATTGCCGCCATTGGCTATGTTGGCATCGCGATAGTTGAGAGCAACTGCGTGCACTTTTATGAGAACGAATGTTGGATGAAGAGGGAGAGGAAGGTCTTCTGTGACGAGTTTCACTTTGGGGGTGCCCTTTGTATGATCGTCTGTTCGGCGCCAGGCTTGACGTTGAGTTGGTTGAGACATTTCTGGCTATGAAGAGAGTAGTTACGAGTGAGATAGCGTACCAGGGGTGGTATCTATTGATGTCGTATCTTGATCTCGGAGCGGGAGACTATTGTACTTATACTGCGGCTATCGTGATGAGATGTCTTGTTACTGACAGATCCATGTGGGGTAACCTCATTTATAATCAATCTTGGTATTGGATGGTATCATGAGTAGGTCAGTACATGAATACCTCCCCGTAGTTGAATCCTGTTCCTCAAATATTTTCTTGTTTTGGTTACCAAAGCTTTGAGGAGTGTTTGGTCTTGGCTAATGTCGGGTTCCTCAGCCGTAGTCTAGGGTGTCCACACCTCAAGAAAGATTGCAACTATCACGAGGTTGGTCAAGTATTTCAAAAGGTTATCTTATCCTGAAGCGAGTAAGTCGTTGGTTATAAATTGCGCTAAATCTGATATTTTCCAAAGATTCTGCGTGGAAAGAGACTATGTGGATGGCTTGGTTACAAACCGTATACCCAGTCCTCAGGGCTCGGTTGCCACTCCCGAACATTATCGGTGTCTGAAGGAGTCGATCCAAATGAAAGGGAAAAGAGAAAAGGAAGAAAATAAAAAAAAGAGAATGTGAACAAATATGTCAGATCTCTTTGAAAGCTTGAACTTGCAACAGACAGTGAAAGTGATAAACTTTATCTAGCTAAATTCTACATTTACTGTTGAACAGTACCTCAACCCCTGAGGCAGCTGACTTACACCATCGTCCAACCTTGCATTATCTCGGGACAGGAATCCGCGGATACCACAGTTTAGGAACCAAAGAATATACCAGTAAGCCTCACATTTCTCTATTTAGTATTCAAGCGATATCTTCTTTAGAACTCCGTAAACTCACGGGCCGAAAAAGGAAAGGTTGAAGAATATTCCTATTGAAATGAGCGGAAGCTATTGAGGGAACGGCATTCTCTGGATTCGTGGCGTCGAAGCTTCATGCTTGGGGTACAGGGGAGCTTGAAGTAGGCTCGTTTTGTCAGAGTTGCATCGGTAAGGCCAGAGTGTATAAGCAGTGTGACACTATGTCCTATCTTCTTCATTCAATTGTTTTTCATATGTCCTCTTCCAATAGTTCTACACAGTTCTCTCCACTCATTCCCCAACAAGATGTCTGAGCTCAGAATAGCAAAGATAGACTTCTTCAGAGTCGACCTCCCTTACTCGGGGGGCGTTTACTATTTGTCAGGCGGGCGAGAGTATAGGAGTTTTGATGCAACAATGGTCCGAATTACCACAAATACTGGTATCGAAGGATGGGGCGAGAGCACTCCTTTCGGGTCAACTTACATCGCCGCTCATGCCCTAGGCGTGAGAGCAGGTATTGCGGAGATTTCTCCCTGGCTGATCGGATTGGATCCAAGGCGAGTTGACCGCATCAACGAAGTCATGGACTCTGCTCTGATCGGCCACGAGCACGCCAAAACACCTATCGACATTGCCTGTTGGGACATTTTCGGAAAGTCAGTGGGAATGCCTGTTTGCGAATTGCTCGGTGGCCGCACTGATGTTGGTCTGCCTATCATCTCGTCAATCTATATGGACAACCCCGAGAATATGCGAAAGCGTGTTGCAAAGCATAGAGCACGGGGATACATAGGACAATCCGTCAAGATCGGTGGAGAACCTGGTGAAGATGCTCGCCGAATAACTGCCTCGCTCGCTGATATGCAGCCTGGGGAGTTCTTCCTGGTAGATGCCAACGGTGGCATGACCGTTGAAAACGCCCCTCGCATGTTAAGGCTCCTCCCGCCTGGCTTGGACTTTGTTCTCGAAGCCCCCTGTGCCACATGGCGCGAAATCGTCTCCCTTCGTCGAAGAAGCAACGTACCTATTCACTTCGACGAGCTCGCTACCACAGACGCATCGATAATCCAGATGATAGCAGATGACGCGGCTGAAGGCTTTGGGGTCAAAATTTCGAAGAACGGCGGTTTGACCAAAAGTCGACGACATAGGGATATTGCTCTTGCAGCAGGCTACACCATGAGTTGTCAGGAGACCACCGGGTCGGACATTGCTTTTGCGGCAATCGTTCATCTTGGGCAAACTATTCCGGAGAAGAATTTCAGGTGTATATTGGAGTGTAGAGATATGGTTACTGTGAAGACGGCGGATGGGAACTTTGAGGTTAGGAATGGGAGGGTTCATGCACCAAAGGATCCGGGATTGGGGGTTACGCCTCGTTTGGATGTCTTGGGTGATCCTGTTGCTAGTTACTCCTGACTTGAAATGAGATGATAGAACAATGTGCACTTTTCCAATATCCCAGTTCCCTTGCACGTAACTAGTAGGTACGTATGTATGAACTTCTACAGCCTCCAGATTATATTTCACCTCTTACGGCCTAATCAACTTGACGCGTATGCTGTGGTTGGCCGTCTGCATGAGGCCGTCTTTTGAGGGCCGCCCAACTCACAAACGGCCACCAGCAGTTGGCCCACTGCCTGCAATTTTGCTGCAAGGCAGCCAGCCACAGAGCGAACCATTTTCAAGTCAAAGACGTGTACTTGTATAGGTAGATACCTAAAACGTAGCTTCAATTTGATATCGTTCATCTTTTGTTTGTTGATCCAGTCACCCTGCCTGGATGCTCACTTTGACTTCAAATACAGAAACGCCTTCGATATCAGTCGATCTGGTTCACAAAGCATCAGGAGTCTGTCTCCACTGCCTGAATATCTAGGTACCTGCGGTAGGTTTTAATAGCTTACTACATTTTGATGTTGTTTGAGACAGTGGGCCAGAAATGGGAGGTTATCTTATATCACATGCACTGACAGTTGCTGCCAGTGCCAGTATCATCAAGCAACAGCAGCCTCACAAGGTGAATGAATCATTCACCCACCCACCCTTCGCATTCCATGTTGACTTTTCTTCTCCAAGACGAAACCTTCGCTCATTTCATTTCATTTCATTTCATTTCATTTCATTTCATTTCTCTCTTCTCTTATCTTCACTTCACCCTCACCCTTCATCTTCCTCAACCTTGTATCGCGACTCCAACCTCAACTGCCACGTACTGAGTTCTATCACACGCGCAAGATAACTTTCATGACTAACCTAAGTGACTTAGAATTGACACTGAATCACCTGGCCTAGTGGTAGAAGCGCGGTGCCTTAGGTGCTAGAAGCGATGCCTCCCCCCGCGGCTTCCATTCCCCCTCGGATTGGCAAGAGCGACAAGGAAAGGTCCTTTTCCCTCAACGACGCTCTTTACAACCATCTCGTGCTCCCTCCCCAACTCCCGCAAAGACAGGACGCCAATCTAGATGAACTTGAGAAAGCCCTCCTTAACCGATTCCTGGTTTCTGTGAAGCACATGCGAGATCTTCCCGGCAACGACCAGAGTTACGTTTGGAGCTTGATCGAACGAGGCCTTCGTGCTACCCAAAGCATTCATGCCGGAGGTCACGTCGACCGAACTGCACTCATTCGAGAGCTCAACGATTTTGGAGAGTCGGACTTTCTGGTCGTCTATGTACGGAGCCAGAACTGTGCTCTCTACGTCCGCCGTTCGCAAGAGTGAGTTCTGTCTTCATACCTCACCTTCAAACCACCGTATGTCAACTAACTTGATACAGTGCTGTCTTTGGCGCCTCTGTCATATTCGAGGCCTTTGAGACTTCGGCACGCAATGAGGATGTACTAGCAACTGAAAATGCGCTTCAGTGGGACTTTCCTGGATGTGCAGTCGCAGTCCCCCTCGCTACATTCCGTGAGAATGGTTTCGTCTCCAACCTAGCCAATTTCCTCGACAACGCTTCGCGAGAATCACTCACTGATTTCTCCGCACAGGCACTCAAGGCGGGAACATCTATGCCTGAGTTTCGAAACACATCAGAACCTGCTCTCATTTCCTCTATGCTCATGGCTATTCTGCAACAAAACGGCCGCCGCCTCGCCCCAACTCTTCTACAAAAGATGGTTCGGGACGATGTACTGTGGAACAACGCAGAAAGACCATGGAAACGACTTCCTTATTGGCTCGTGCTGCGAGTTGTCATCTCTCGATACCTTGCTCAACGTTTGGGTGAAATTGGGCGAGTTGAGTACAAGTTTTTGTTAGCTCACCTCTTCAGTGAATTCCTCACACATGTGCAGCAATCGGGAGAAATGCGACTTGACCGTCTCGACTTCCTCAAGAAAAAGATTTGCCGGCGGCTAGTCAAGCTGGAAGTTGAGAAGGATCGGTTTCTAGATCTGGCCCAGAGAATTGAGTATCTATTCACCCAACTCGGTCCCGGATTACAGAATTCAATTTCCAAGGCAAATGCTTTCATCGAAGCGTCGTGGAAGCACCAGAAGTTAGCCATGACGAAAACGATCCCTCCGCTACCGAAGCAAGCTTCTTTCGAGGATATGAAGTTAAACCTGAAGATGAGTGGGTTTGCCCTCAACAATATCTGGAGAGGCTATTCAAAGCCTTTCAAGTTCAATACTGGGCGGCAAGGTACCACGAATGTTGCACAGGCTGCGAAGCAGCATCTTAGCTCCTTTGCTCTTGAGCACTTCAAGTTAACTGACAAAGAACTCACCATCATCAGCTTTTGCCATGAGCAAAGCCTCCTTCTACACACAAAAGTCATAGGCGCAGCTGCTTTGATAAATGAGTATCTGCAACAAGCTTTTAGGGCCTACAATGGAATCCCCGAACTCAAGAGCACACTGATCTTGAACATCATGGATCTATGGGTTACCATGGATAAGGCAGCCTGTGCGATGTACCCACTCCTCACCGAATTTCACCCTGTCTTTCGACCTGAGATGCTTGATATTTTGCTACTTTCTACTTTCGATGATATGAAGCGACTGCAAGAGATCCAGGTTTATCTACAGGATCGCATTGCTGCTTGCCAAGGTTCAACAATCAGCATTTTTGACGATCCCGTCCGAGGATCATTTGGTCATCGCTTCTATGATGACTCTGACATTTCTGATGAGATGAAGGACTTGCATGAGTCAGTAGAGGCATGGGCGACCCATTTGCGAGACAGCAAAGAAAAGGAATGGAAGAAAAAAAGCGAGGAGTACTCAAAGACATCCAAAGTTATCGATGAGAGCACATGCGTCTACATGGTGGACGAGGACAATCCTCACTTGCCCCCTTATCATGATCGCGATTGTCGTCGCTGCTACTTGAAGCGGCAGTTGAAGAAAATTAGTATCCAGGCCTACGAGCATCCACTCCCTTCTGATCCTCATGTCGCGAAAGCTGTCATTTTTGAGCTGCTTTGCCCGCAGACTTTGGCAAAATATCGAGATGCTACATGGACTATTATGTCAATAGCCCTGCCAGCAGAGGAAGGCGTTGACCCGAAGTGCTGGGCGCGAGACTACCAACAGCTACAGAAGTATGCCAATGAATCATTAATGAGCTGCTCTCTGGCATCAGTCACTAAACCTTGTAAGTATCCAGACTACCGTTACCCCTTCAAGGCCACCCTTAGGATGATGCCTGTTCAAGTCCGAGAAGAACCATACGGTTTGTCCTAAACTTGAACCATGAACACAAGTTTGGATATAAACTGCTCTCTTCGGCATCGCTTATACCAGTCCAGAATTAAATTATAAGGAAAGCCCAGCTAACATTAGAACAGTTGTCTCTACCCACTACAACTCGTTAGCATTCCCTGTCGAATGGGATAACGGCAGATACGGTGTTTGTCGACCAAACGGCTTGAAGTTGGCATATTGTGATAAAAACTCGAAACAGTGGCCCAGTCGTCGGGGTCATCTGAGCTTCTTACATCATGTGAAGCTTGAGATACCCGACTCTTCCCCGTTCTCGCAGCAAGACTCTGCCTTCTTCAAGAGCATTTACGGGCCATCCTCTTACGAAATCATGGCCACAGCATCGAGATGCCCACAAGGTATCAATGTTCATGAATATCTTGCTTTTCAGACGGTTGCATCTGGAAAGTCCAGGCGCTGGCTATCTATTCTTGCCGAATTGGCATCGGCCAACCTGAACTTCTCCAATGAGGCCACGATGTTACTTGTCACTCATCTGGCTCTTCAGTGTGGGCCCCTAGATGATTCCAGGGGTGAGTTTCGCCTCATCCATGAGGTTTTCCGAGACCGTTCATTCTGTGAGACCTTCATGGAGCAAATATCACATCGCTTGGACAGCCTGGCGGCTAATTGGAGAGAAATCTACCTCATGGAAACCATCGTCACCTTCACCCTCCGTCTCCTCGACTTTTCCTGGGCCGCACGTATGCCCGATATATCTGACCAGACAATTTCCCTTTTGCTACGCGCCAGGAACACATGTTTGCGTTGGTTCAAGCTCCTTCGTGCTGAATCCTACAAGGTTGTCGAAACTGAGACAGCACGACGGTTCCAACAGTATGGTCTTTGGGCTGCTCTATTGTGCAAACGCACATATGTACCTCTGGCCTCTGGCCGTATTGAATTCGATGATACGTCTCTCGAGATATTCATCCAGAGCAGTATCACGGTAAATGATAGTCTTGTGGTTAAGCTAGAGGCGCTTCCCCAGCTCCTCCAGCATGCAATCATTCGAGATATCCGACTTTCACATCGACTTGCCCCAATTGTGTCGAAGTGAATTGTTGATGGCTTGGAAGTCTTCCGGCGATCCCTCTGTGAGATGTGGCCCGAGGAAGAAGGATGTCCTCGTGTTTTCTCGCGAGGGGAATTGGCCTCAGAAGCGCCCGGTTGGGTATTTTGCCGATCCAGAACAGGCGACGGCGTGGACTTAATCGAGCAGAATGTTTCGTTCAACTGTGTTAGAGGACTGCTTCTTGTCGATTGGCAACCGATGGGAAAACTTCCAGAAGACCCGAAGTATTCTGTTGTGCTGAACGAACTTTTTGGTAACCAAGCTCTCCTGACATTCCCGTCACGTCGCCCGGAGATGCAGTACAGTAAGTGCACCTTATTGACTTAGCGAAACATGTGCTCTATGCTAATTGAAAAACAGGCCTATGCGTGAAACCTCATGGATATCAAGTCCATGTGGGATATGGTAGTGGAACGCAGGAGTTGATTGTAAGAGCTTTCCGAGGAAACTATGCATTGCAACTGATACCACGTGAGATCTTTCAAGGCGACTACCCCGATCTTCCTGGTCCCCTTTTGCATAATTGCTTTCATTGGATGCACTTAAGAACGGGAGACATTTTTATAACCAACAAGGACAGACCCTGGCCGAATGACCCTCACAAGTGGTACATTTTGAGCCTCAAAGACTACACATGTTCGAGGACGCGCCTTTACCGAGGCCTTCCTACAAAGGATTATATTGTCAACCCGTCAAGTCCACTCTTCAATCGTATTAGCCGAATCCTAGACTCCCTTGAAGATCGCAGCCAGATAAAAGTGTATCAACCTGGAGGAGACCGAAACCTTACCGTGGAGCTTCCAAGACTCAACATCGTGTTCTACACTAACAAGAACCGTCTACTTCAGTCGCCTCAGCTACAATGCCAAATCGACAACGACCAAGATGCTGGGACCTGGTACGGCCTCCGCAGTAAGCTCGTATGTACTAGCCTTACCAATCCGATGCACAGGTCTATCTTGGTGCCTCTCGGGCCCGTCTCTGCTAGGTCAGAAGGGTGTCATGTTACAGTAAGGGTCGAACCCTCGGATAAATTTGGGAGATTCAATATCAACAGCACACTTGGACGGATCGACTGCGCGCCCGAACCCACACTGGTTTTCACTAAAGCTCTTCTCCATGCGTGCACATCTTTTCTTCTGCCTGATCCTTTGACTGGCCGCACTGGAACTGAAGAAGCTATTGAGTGGCTTCAAGCGGGCATATCTCAACCATGGTCCCCCCTTACCCCACCCTCTATGTCGGTACTGCACAAGATAGCTGGGCTAACGCCGAGAAGAGTGTACTATCCACAAGATCTTAAGGTGATGCGTACAGATACCTGGATTGAGTCCCTTCCCATCATTCTTCAGAACTCGGCATATAGGCAAATTGTAGATCGTATCCTTCAGGAGTCTGCAACTTTAGGAATGTTCTCAGCCAAGGAACAGGTTATTGTGAAGATGCCAGAGCTCCCTCTTTCAGGGGATATGCATCTACATGCACGAGCGATGTTTCGACAAGGTGCTGTTACAAGGTGTCCAGGGATTACATCCAGCTGCACACAACCAGCTAACCAGAAGTACATGTCTCGAGATCGCCCCTCAACAGTCAACATCATGCATCGCAATGTGCTTGAGGTCACAAATCTGATCCAGAAATGGCCTCAGAGCTTCAAGACGACAGATTGTATTGCTCAAACTCTCTCACAAGGCAGCACTGTTGGTGGATTTACATCGGCCTTCAGTGGGACATCCATCAATGAGAAGCTGAAGGTTAATATCCTTCAACATTGGGGGTCGTTGGTCCGGTTTTCCCGTGAATCAGCAGATCGATACAAGTTGATGTACCTCCTCGGGCCAATGTCGTTCCATCTCGACGCAAATATGCCACTTCTTCGAACCCTTGTTGCGTCCGCGGTATTCAGTGATCTGAAGGATCTTGAATTGCCCAAATGGGATGAGTTTGATCATTTCCAACCGAACCAGGCACCTCAGCTTGATTACATTCTGCATCTGCTGAAGCCGTACCGAGTTGCTGCGCCGGAGAACGACGCGATGGGCCTGGGGCAGTATTCGAGTGGAAAACTATTACGCAAGTTGCAAATCGAGCAAGCACAACACGAAGCCAAAGTTGAAGATGATTGCAAGTACTTAGCCAACCACCTCCTCAACCAATGGCCTTGTCTGGAACCAAATGTCAGTGGTCTATCTCGGTCTGTGCTGATTGACATCGGCCCTGCGCTGGAAGTTATTCGTCCCGAGTGGAAACGCCTGTTCATGAATAAAGATCTCACTGAGCATCTCAAAGAAGTCCAGACAATTCTTGATAGACGAAACCTAGAAGATCGATACGAACCACCTACGGTTCCCTTATCCGAGGAGACCTACACGGTAAGAATACGAGATGGTACTGAGACCGTCGACCTTCGGCAACTTCTGGCCAAATCGTATCGTATTCTTAAGGTCACGACAAGTATGAATCAAGTCCCTCCTGCAGGCTCGGTGGATCGACCATTTTTGACTGAGAAGGACTTTTTCCCAAGGTTCGGCAATTCAACTTGGCAAAGAAACACCGGTTCTGTGGCCAAGCCCCCTTGGCCTGGTCTTACAAGGCCTCATAATGCCCAAATGGAGAAGAGTACGTCAGAATCAACTGTGAGGTCAGAATGCAGTATGAAATTGAATCTTATAACCCAACGCTTGGGAGCATCTCAGTCGGCTGTTCGGCGCCGTTATGCAGCGGACTTCCAGAAGAGTCTCGCCGCCTTCCAGCACACTCCTTTGGCAAGTGTTAAAGAGTCGATGAAATCTCGAGAACTTGAGATCCAATCCAGTATGGAGAAGGTCGAGGGCGACTTCGGGGCGATCTGTACAGCCTTGGAATCAAGTGGAATGCTCTCACAAAGAAGGATCTTTTGGCTCAAGGCAGGAAACCTGTGGCCGATTGTGACCAAAGCTACACTTCTTTCTTGTCTCGGATCGGCTGCTGATGTCACACAATTCGGAAGTGGAATGAAAAAGGCCATTTTAGAAATGGGAGTTGGCATTACGAAACACCAAAGACTGGTCCGACTTCATGACCTGGCGTCCAAAAACGTCTCGGGAAGATACCACGAAGAGGAGTCCAATGAGGGACACTCGAATTGGAAGCCTGAAGAGCATCCAGATTGGCTCCTGTTAGAAATAGAGTCGAATATGATGATCCGTCCTGTTCAAGTTGATGTAGCTTTAGCCACAATTTCCCCTGGGTCGGGATCCAATTCTGTGCTTCAGATGAACATGGGCCAAGGTAAGTTGTCCCTGGAAGAAAACAATATCGGCCATTTTGAGTACTAATGAGTTTCACAGGGAAAACCTCCTGTATTATCCCTATGGCTGCGGCAGCACTCGCCAACAAGAAACAGCTTGTGCGAGTCATTGTACCAAAAGCTCTTCTCCAACAAACAGCTCAGCTGTTGCAGGCCAGACTCGGGGGTATACTTGGAAGGGGTATTCGGCATGTCCCCTTCTCACGTCGAACTCCGTCTACCGAGAAAAATGTACGAGCCTATCATTCAATCCACAGAGATATGCTCAAGTCTGGTGGTGTCATGATATGTCAACCCGAGCACCAGATGTCATTCATGCTTAGCGGCCGACAGCGACTCCTGGACGAGCAGCCAGCGCAAGCAGGACCGATGATTAAAGTCCAAGAATGGCTCACAAGGGTGTCAAGAGATATCCTGGACGAGTCGGACTATACTCTCGCAGTGAGAACCCAGCTTATCTACCCATCTGGCGCTCAGACTACAGTTGACGGACATCCACATCGTTGGCTTGTAGTTGAAGCCGTACTGAGACTTGTTGATAACCATCTGTATGGTTTGTCAAGGTCCTTTCCTCACTCCATCTGCGTTATGAGACGAAACGAGGGCGGCTTTCCCTTTGTGTTCTTCCTCAGGCAAGACGTTGAGGATGAGCTGGTCCGAAGACTTACAGCAGACATTTGTCACGGTGCTGGTGGGATTCTACCTCTTACTGAACAGGCAATGGCAACTAAAGACAGGGTCGCTGTCAAGAACTTTCTCATGCACGCTCGACCGAGCGCTACAAATATAGAGCGCATCCGGAATCTCTCGCCAGATAAGCCTAGCTTGAAGCAAACAATTTATCTTCTTCGAGGCCTCCTCGTCAATCGCATCTTGATGATGACCCTCAAGAAGCGCTGGAATGTAGAGTACGGTCTCCATCCCCACCGCGATCCTATAGCAGTGCCTTTTCACGCCAAAGGTGTTCCGAGCGATCAATCCGAATGGGGTCATCCTGACGTCGCAATACTACTCACCTGTTTGGCGTTCTACTATGATGGCATAAATCTAGCTCAACTTCGACAATCACTTGAACATATCCTTAAGTCCGACGACCCATCAACCGAATACGATAACTGGAGTCAGAGCTCTGAGAATTTCCCTTCCTCCCTCAAAGCCTGGAACTCGATCAACGTGGATGACGAGATGCAGCTTAGGGAGATTTGGAAGGTTGTGCGGTACAACGAGGTAGTGATCGATTATTTCTTGAACAACTTCGTGTTTCCACGACACGCCAAGCAGTTTGAGGTAAAACTTCAGGCCAATGGCTGGGACATTCCACTCTCACCCCTCGGGAGCACAACAGAGAACGACAAAGAGACAACAGGCAAACCACTGAGTACAGGCTTCAGTGGTACCAACGACAACAGAACAATGCTTCCTTTGAACATTCAACAACAAGATCTGCCGAGTCTTCATCACACAAGCGCTGAGGTTTTGACCTATCTCCTTCATCCTCGAAATCGTCGTTGCATTCTACCTCAGGATGTGAGAACTCTACACATGGGAAGAGCCACCGAGATGGATCTCTTATGGTGCCTTCAGTCGAAGTCCATCCGTATCCTAATCGATGCAGGAGCTCAGATCTTGGAGATGGACAACTACACTCTGGTTCAGCAGTGGCTAAAGATTGACCATTTCGCTTTGGCAGGCTTGTACTTTGATGAAGAAAACAAACCTTGGATTCTGACCAAGGAAGGAAGAAAAACACCTCTCCTCGCGTCACCTTTTGCTGATGACCTTTCAAACTGCCTGGTATACCTTGATGAGGCCCACACCCGTGGCACTGATCTCAGGCTTCCTCCTAAAGCTAAGGGTGCCCTCACTCTTCGTCTAGGCCAGACCAAGGACCACACTGTTCAAGGTAAGCTTGGCATGTTGCTATCAGAGCCTTCCAAGATCGATTTGCTAACAACTCGTAGCTGCTATGCGTCTACGACAGCTGGGAACAACTCAGATTGTTTCTTTCTTTGTCCCTCCTGAGGTCCACCAGAGCATCTCAGACCTGCAAAACAAGACTATTCATGAGCCCATCGACTCAGCCGATGTCATCGAATGGCTTTTAGACAACACATGTGACCAAATTGAGCAGCTACAGCCCTTGTACTATTCACAGGGTATGGATTACTGCCGTCGAATGCAAGCTGCTTTAGATCACCCGGACTTCTTGACCGACAAGCCTCAACGAAAAGCATATGTACTGGCGATTAAGCAAGACGAACAGCAGAGCCTGCAGAATCTTTACGAGCCCAAATTAAAGAACCGCGCCGCCGGCATGCAGACATCTAATAGCGCGGTTCTTAAAGGCTTTATTCAAGATCTCAATGCAAGACGCAAGACCTTTCAAGATACTGGCCGAGCCGTTCATGCCTCTGCTCTACAGGAAGTCGAGCAGGAGAGAGAGGTTGCTTTCGAGGTTGAATCAGTGCGACAAGTCAAGAAGCCTCAGCACTTTGCTGCTTTCTCTTTCCCAGGTCTCCACGCCAGCCTCGAGGCTTTTATCAGAACTGGAAGGCTTCCTGCAGATACGAATTATTTTACTCACGTATTCCATGCCCTGTCAAAGACAGGAACCGGTCGCAAGTACAAAGTGCAATCGAAGGTTACCAAATCACAATTACTCGAGACGGCCGAGTTTAGCAGAACTATCAAGCCCAAGGGAGACCTCTCTACTGATGGCTTCTTGGTATGTGTTTTACTCACTTATCCTCCAACAGTTATAGAACTAACAAAACCTCAGCGTCCCGTTAATTGGATCATTTGGAGCTCTGTCGCCGAGATAGCTGTCATTATCATGCCGGAAGAAGCCGAAGCTTTGATTCCCATCATGCGGAACTCGGGTGTCCCCACGCATCTTCTAGTTTACTCTGCACCAATTACACGAAAAATGCTCCGATTCAACGATCTGACTTTCCATAGCATTCCTCCTCTACCTATTGACTGGAAAGCTCCAAAGTGGCTTCGGGTTGAGCTGGGAATCTACGCCGGGCGCTTGTACTTTGATTGGGACGAATACGATGCTATGTGCTCCTTACTCGGAATCCAGAGTGACGAGCTCGGTAACCAAGCACAGGATGAAGAGCCTACTGAGACTGATACGGATGCTGAGACAGAGACATATAAGCCACAAACTGACCTCGAACAAAAGCTCGCCAAAAGTCCACTGACGTTTCTACAAGAGTGGCTAGCAGTCCGTCGCCGTGGGCAGGACTTCGCTCACAGCCCCATGGGCTTTGTCAGCCAGGGCAAGCGTCTCCAAGAGGACCATGTCTTCTTCAAGGCAGCAGAAATAGACAATGGGATATCTGAAGAGACTGTGCTGGCACCAGTTCGATTGTCCAGTTCAGTTGAAAACGACGGGCAGGATGATGATGGCTACTACGGCGTCGACGACATGGGTGCCAACGAGGCTGGAGATAGTGACTCCAGCGACGACGATAAAATCGAGTACGACGAGTCCGAGTACGCCAGCGCATCATCAAGCGATTGAGAGTAGTTTTGGAAGGTAATTATCTGTTTTGACAATGGCTTAAGTTATGAGGATATAGATGGCTTAGTATGAGGTCTTGGTCATGTCGATGACATTTGTACGGTTTAGGGTGATATAATATATGTGTGGGTTTTGTAATACGTGTGAGTTCATGACAGAAGGAGTGATAATCTTCTCAAAATGCCCCCTTGATGATGAGGATTCATTATGAACATATGAAGATGTTATGGCTCCTAATGATACTTAATCTTTTAGGGAACTTATGTTCCATCATAAAATTATCACAGCAGGCCCTCAAAGCCATTCTGAACAGGAAAAGAATACAAACACACTTTCCAGCCAGGCAGTTGCCCCGTGCTTTGTCTCACAAACTTATATCACCAGAGGTTTTCATCAGTCAATATCGTTTTACAGACACGCATCTAGATTCAGAGAATCAATACATCTTTATCTCAATTACTTGGGCAAACAAGGGTTATCCGATCATATCTGACATGATGTTTTCCCATCCATCTAATTATCTGTGAATTAAACCCATGTCCCAGCATCAACCATTACACCTCCCGTCCAAGAAATTCGTTTCAAATTGTGACAATAATACAGAGCAAATCGCTCGACATGAATGCGCCATCTTTCAATACAAATAGAGTTCGTTGCATCGTGACATTCTTCAGTTGGCAGATTCCTAAACCAGACTGTCTTCCAGACGCTTGAGCTCATGAGGTGTCCACTGGTAAACACCTTGTCGAAGAGCAGAGAGAACAGTCTCTCGTTTGACAAGCTGGGATGGGACGTTGGTACGACAAGAGGCAGCGATACAGCTATTGTCAGTCCAGCCGACACGGAAGTCATCACCCCACCAAACACGCAGATTTTGAGAAACGCGCACGGCGATCAGAACCGACGAGAGGTCTGTATAGCCATCCAGATCAACACGGGTCAGCTCGTAGCCGCCCTCGGAAAATGTTGGACAGGCCGGTACTTGCTTGGTTTCCGACCAAGCGATGGACTCTTCGGTAGACGAGGTCTCATTCCAGCGGTAGGCTGAGATCTCAAACTCGCACCACTTCTCGCCTCCATGGGCATCACATCCAAGGCTGGCTCCAAAGAGGTCGAATCGGAAGCAAGGGCTGGCGGCATGGGGGCCTACACCAATCTGGGCGACGTCTCCCGAGATCGTAGATGTTGTGTTGGAGAGCGCCGGGGGAACAAACTCCACTAGCTGACCACCAGAAGTAGGGATGTATGGTTGAGATTGCCTAGAAGAAGGTGGTGCGATAAGGAAACCTCCTGAAAACCAGATGTTCTCAACGGGATTGAAGAGAGGCCCGGGTTTGGAGTTATCGAACTGAGAAATATTAGCAAAGATCTATGTATGAGTAAGATAGCTGCTTACATCAATGGTGGTATTTCCAATGCTTCCTCCTGTTGCACAGATGGAAGGAGAACTGGCTTTGGAAGTCGTTTCTGTTGCCGTGGGAGAAGTCGCGCTGGAGTCAGAGGCAGTGGTGTTAGACCAAGACATGCCTTGACGGCGAAAGAAGCGCTTTCGGGGAACGGTGACAGTGGCAAGAGTGGTGAGAGGGTAGTCGATTGTGTAAGAAGTGGTCTCATCCTTGATGACATTGGTCCAGGTAGTGGTCTGTAGAGTGGCAGTGCCTGCAGAAAGAGGCCAGAGAGTGTTCTCGCTTGCAACAGGTCCGTACGCAGTCTGGGGAAGCTGATCAGAGGAACCGTCACCTGAAAGGTTACTGGTGAAGGGAGGCTGATCCGCACCATCTGAAAACACGGGACCATTTGAAGTGTCAACAACAGAAGTGACAGTCCAAGTGAAAGTTCCAGTGGTTGTACCAGAAGCAGAAGTACCCTGCGCATCGGCGCTAGCATCGGTGAGTATAACCGAGATGGGGTCTTCAGGCATTCCGTCATTGTAGCCGTTGAGGGTTGGGATACTGGTAGAAAGAGGGCCCAGGTCGCCTGTAGTGAGGACAGGCTCAGAGTTAGATGGGGGTGTAATGCCAGAGGACGTTGCTTGAGGAACATCAGCAGAAATACCAAGCGCAGAAGAGTCACTGAAGACAATGGTCTGCTCAGTTGGTGTCGGCTTTCCGTCAGGGCCAAGTACGACAGCAGTTGTGATCGTGGTGAATGCTTTTGGAGAACCAAGAGATGAATCAGTTTGGTCATCAGTAGGGCTTGCTCCAGCAGGATTTTCAGTACCAGTGGGAACGACAAATGTCGAATCAACAACTGTTGGAAGGCCATCTGTTCCGATTACTGTGTAGGTAATGCAGGTGGTGAGGCCAGACACTTCACCATCGTTTCCATTGGAGGGGAGACCCGGGGAGGATGTCACTGGGCCAGGATTTCCAATGGGAAGGCCAGAAGTAAGTGAGTCGGAGACAAAAGAGGGATTACTCGGTGACTCGGATCGAGTGTTGGCAGATCCTGAGATAACCCAGGTCGAATCGACAATTGTTGGAAAACCATCAGGTCCAATGGTAGTGTAGCTAGTACAAGTGGTAATGCCTTCGCTTCCATCATCAGATCCAGAGGCATCGGACGGGCCAGAAGAGGGTAGTTCGGGAGCTCCAGTGGTTTGCATGGTTATGGCAGATGTGACGCCGTTGGGTAGAGAATCCGAAGCCCACGAGGGTTCTTTGGTGCCAGTGCTGATACTGGGGTCAGTATTTGTCGGTCCAGGGATGACCAAAGTGGTGCCCACAACTGTAGGAAGACCATCGGCACTAATGATAGTGTAACTCGTGGAAGTGGTGATAGGGATAGCGCCACCCAAGTTGGATGTTGTAGAAAGTGATCCTGGAATATCATCGGGGCTGAAGGTTGACAACCCGGAAATGGTCAAGAAGCCCCCTGAAGACTCTGAGCCAGGAGCGCCCGTCGGGTGTCCAGAGTCAGAGTCAGATCCAGTCACAGGAACAGCCCAAGTGGAGTGAACCACCGTGGGAAGCCCGTCAGTGCCAATGATGGTGTAGCTTGTGCACGTTGATGAGCCAGAGCCTCCAGACCCGTCCTGAGGTATGCCAGGTGCAGAGATTGGACCAGTGGGGATGCTACCAACATCAATTGGTATGCCAGAGAGTGAAGCTTGGGGAATGCCAGTTACGGGAAGTTGTGAGGAGTCCTCAAAGGAAGGTGTGCTGTAAGGGACAACCCACGTGGAGTCAGTCACTGTGGGAAGGCCGTCGGTGCCAGTGATGGTGAAGGTTGCACATGTAGTGATTCCCCCTCCAGGTCCGCTGCCAGGAAGAGATCCAGCTTGGGAGTTGGAAGGACTTTGTGAACCAGGGAGACCAGCAGATACAGCAGAGGGTAGTGGAAATACTGTAGGAACTCCACCTGGGAGGCCTGGGTTGTTGCCACTTTGGGTGAACCCTGGGGTAGCTGAAGGCTGTTCTTGGCCAGGGCCAACATTGCTTCCGCTGCTGACAATAGTGGGTAGTCCGTCTTGGCCAGTGATAGTGATGAAGGAGGGGATAGGTTGGCCAGCATCATTTCCTCCTGGGACGTTGGTGAACCATGGGGAGTTCTCGCCTTGGCCTTGAGGGCCTGCCTGGGTGGTGACTGGGAGACTGTCGCTCGCCTCTTGGGGAGGCATAGCAGAAGGGAATTGGGGCTGGCTGCCTGGTACACCACCATCGCTTGGAGAGCCAGGTCCCGGGAAAGGAGTGGGGGCAGCGGTGTTGGCACCAGAAGCTCCAGGGAAACCCACAGAGGAATCATCACCAGGAGCGCCATCAGAATACCCAGGTGCACCATTGGAGCCAGGGGTCTGGGAGAAGGATGGGGAATCGGAGTTGTTCTGAGAGCTATTCTCGCCATCTAACCCAGAGCTGTTGCTAACACCCGATTCAGATCCGGAATTGGAGCCGGAGTTTGAGCTGTCAGAACCATCACTAGGATCGTTGGCACCACCGACGCTGTTGCCATTTTCTGTGCCGTTACCATCTTCTGGATTGCTGCTATCACCAGATCCTGTACCATCATCTGACCCTGAACCAGAGCTTGAAGGGCTACCATCGGGACCCCAAATGTCGAGTGTCAACGTGGTGAAAGGAGGGACAGAAGATGCGGGCATCAGAGAAGTGAAATCCGCAGGCGTGGTAGGGAAGGGTGATGGGAACTCTGAGCCATCAGAATCCGAATCGTCTGGCCACGGGAAATCTTGTCCGTCGTGAGTATCTGTGGGGTAGACAGTGACAACAACAGTCTTTGTGGAGCGAAGAGAACAGGTAGGGAGGTCAGAGCCACCAGCGTTGGGAGACCCAGGTGAGCCAGGCATGTTCTGAGGTGCATTGGTAGGAAAGCTGCCAGGAACGATAATTGAACCAGCACCAGGGATATTGGGAGAAGAATTACCAGGAAGGTTTCCAGGGATACCACCAGGAACACCACCAGGGATACCACCAGGAACACCACCAGGGACACCACCAGGGACACCACCGGGGACACCACCGGGGACACCACTAGGTTCATCAGGGGGGAGACCGTTAGAGCCACCGTCGGTAGAGCCAGGGCCGACGCTGCTGGGCAAGGGGCCAGGAACGTTTCCGGCAGCGCTGCTTGGGTACGAAGGGTTACCAGACCCGTCGGTGTTGCCAGGAATGATGTTGCCAGAGCCACCAGGCGAGCTACCAACTGGGCTCCCGTTGGGGTTTCTGTCATCCAAGGTTAGCCAGGGACAAAGAAGAGCGGTGCATTGTAACTTGCCCGTAGTCAGTTGCCTGAGCGGCAGTATGGCCCAAGAGGCTGGTGGCCACAAGGACCCCGAGAGACGCGGCGATACGCATCTTGGGTGATCAACTTCGACGCGAAGAAAGTCGAGCGGTTGAGGGGCGTGTACAAGGAGGAGAGAAAATGTGAGATGATTCCTGTTGGTGGGCAAGTGTAAAATGCTTTGCCAGAAAAGCTGAGAAGAGAGAGCTTGAAGATGAATGCAACAGAAACGAGAGGACTGAGAAGATGCCTCTTCTCGAATTGAGGAGGATTGAGGATGAAGGGAAAAGAAAATGAGGTGGGATGAAGAAGAGAAGAAAAGGTTTTGGGAACGAGATCGAGAGGAGAAGGATATATACGGTGGATGCCAGGGAGGAGGGGGACGAGGGCAGGAGTTCCTTCCTCCTGGAGCGGCAGAATGTTGGGGATGACGCGTTCGTCGAGGAGTTGCGCGAGCCAGTGGGAGAGAAAGTCACGACAAGAGGAGGAAAGAGCGCGTGAGGCAGCTGCCAGCCGGCAGTTGCCTCCCTTATTGGACCAGATCAACCAAAGAGGTAGGTGTATCAATCCATGTGAGAACGAGGTCTAACTCTGGACTTGCACGCGATACTTCAATTAATCTCTATTGCCATTGTACGATGTCCATCTCTTGAAGCTCCAAGAATGTGATGTGATGTTTGACAGGTAACTTGAACTTGGAACACATGGTATCCAGTTCAAGTCACCACATGGGCTTAAATCTGAGCGAGTCGAACTAGGCAGTCGGTACTCCTTCCTGTTCCCCAGCTGTTGGCAGTGTCCTGCACTTGGACGCCCCGCAAGATGGGATGACTTCCATCTCGCGAGGCAGGCACTCAGCAGGCAGGCATGGAAGGTTTGGTGCCTCAGTCATTCTGGATCCCAGCCGACCTGCCCAGATGCTAGGTACTTCAGGTGAGGGGAATGTGCTAGGCGTGGTCACAATATCTAGGTACCTTGAGCAGGACTGCAATGAAAGGGGTTCATGCGCAGAGAATATGAGTAGGTACACTGCCATCGAGCCGAGTTGTCGAAGCCAATGGCAGTTCGATGAAATAAATAGGTAATCAAGATAGCACTAAACTCGTATTATGGTAATTCATTATCTGGCTCATACTACATCATCGGAATAATCAGTGTAAGGGGGAGGTGCATCGGGGTGAGGGTCCTCGTGGGCATCATCTTGATACGTCTGACCGTTCGCAGCAGTATTCTCAGCAGGGCCCCTACTCTCCTCCTCGATGCGAGCCGTCCACTGAGCTGCGCCAGCTGTAGTTGTCAGGAGAAAGAAGAGCGACAAGACAGGGATGAGTTCAAGAATCATAGCAACTGTGCCGAACCAAACATACTCCCACGCGCGATCCCTCAACGCCTTCTTCTGCTCAGCTTTTGAGAAACCCTTGATTTGGAACCAGCGATAATGAGCGAGCTTGCCGAGTCGAGTTCCAGTGATGATGATAAAGGCAGGTGTGCCAACAACTGGAACGAGGTTGAGTGGTAAGAAGACAATGAGCTCAACAATCTGGATGATGCTCCATGGAGTGTAGATGGCAGTAGTAGTGGGCTTTCCAAGCATTCTGACCGGGTTCGGTGCGTCTAAGAACAGGATTCGCTGTGGTGCAATAAGATCCTTATGTCCAAGCTTGATAAGGGCCGCCTACAGTTGTCAGTCACGGAACTACAAACAACAACCGTTTCTCAGTCCAACTACTTACATCAAATACATCCACTCGACATTCATCAACGAAGAAGCCCTCGAACAAGCCCTGTATGATGACCAATCCTTCGCCTAGTACCAGTACCACAGCATTGACCCATGCGCCCCAGCCATGGAATATCGCTAAGAAAGCATACTGGGGTAAGAAGGCAAACGTGAAGAGTAAAAGGTATACCAAGAACGAGATTAGGGATATGGGCAGGATCCTTCCCACCAGGAGTGGCCAGAACTCGCGGTTTTGAATGAAGAACCAGATGCCACGCAAAGGATACAACGCGGCAACGCCGGCCCTCTTGAGGTACAGCCACGGCCGATGGATTGGGCCTGTCCAAGGTCCTATATGAGGATGGTTCGAGTTCTGATACGAGCCGCTGGAGGGCATCTTGATGATTGATACGCAGTGATGGAGGTTCTTGAAGGCATCACCAAGAGGGGCTTACATGTGGTGCTGGCAGGCAACAATAACAACGACCGTGACGTCAAAGAGCGGAAAATCTGGCTGAAGAGTGGGGCCGTGCGGTCCTCACTCAACTTTGACTGGTTCTACGACGTTTCAGAACCTTCGGAAATCCCAGCAATGAGAGAACTTTCGTGCACAACGTTACGAATACTTGCAAAAAAGAAAGCCTCGCAATCGCTCGCAATCGAATCATAGGAACAGCCCGATGCGGGGGTCGAACCCGCAACCTTGAGATCGCGTACTCGTAAGAGTCTCACGCTCTACCGATTGAGCTAACCGGGCGTGGCTCTTATTGGTTGGGAGCCGTGGCCTCAGCTGCGTACTGGTACTGTCGGAGTTGGAGACTCTGTCTTTGCTTTCTCACATCTCCCTCAGAAACTCCCCGAATGGAGACAATGGTCAAGCTTTTCTAACCCCTTTCACGATAGCTTTGAGACTTGAGCGGGGTAACAGATGTACCGTCTTTGAAGCTGATAAGTGCGACAGCTTGAGCTGATGCCTGCTACCTATTTGACAAATCTCATCTCTAACGATCTGTTAACCGTCCTTTCTACCATTATCACCTCCTGGCTTACGTGATTCAAGTAACCAATGCGAGACACACCGGTTCTCGGTGATGGTTCTTGCTGATGTATCGATAGCATCATGCATCCCAAAATCGAATGCCAGTGCGGCGCAGTCCAAGTCACAGCCTCACGACCCCAACCCCTCAGTGTCTACTGGTGCCATTGTACTGAATGTCAGAAACAATCTGCTTCTGCCTTTGGTACATCGGCCATCTTCCCTGCTAACGGTGTGTGGCCTCTCTCTGAAGATGTCCTGTCCAAGCTCTGTGTCTGGAAGCGACCTACAGACGAGGGAAATACCCTGGAGTGCTACTTTTGCAAGTCGTGCGGCGTGAGGGTCTTACATCGCAGCGTCTTGCCAAACAGCCAAGGCAAGCCATATCTGTCGGTGAAAGGGGGTTGCGTTGAGGGGTTGAGTTGGGAGAATGCGAAGCATATCTACACTCGAAACGCTCGCGTCCCTGTGCCCGAAGGAAGTTATCAAACTGTACCTGAAGCCCAGGATTAGATTTTGAGCATCGGAAGCATTCAAGCTTCACCACAGGCGTGAGAAGGATGGATTTGGGTTTTGTACTTGTAAGACCAGCAGAATGTTTGACTAAGTTTGTACGGAGTAGAGATGATTACAATTATGGTAATCTCGCGTATCTAATACAACGATGTTGCACGCCGGCGGGTGGGGTCATCGGGAATCCGGCCCATGTCGGAGCTGCCAAAACACCATAAAGCCGATCCCGTGGGCCATCGCCGACTGAGTTTGAGCATCACCATGCCGGGGCCCACATTACCTTGACCTGCCCCTGAAGTTGGCCATGTACTTTCTATGAGGCGAGCTAATATCAGAGTGTCGGCGTCAATCCAAGCCTCAATGATAATGTCGATAGCCCTGTGTACAGACAAGGGTAATGACAAATGCTATTCAGAAGCAATAGATAAAATGGATATATAAGCCCTCGACGCCCTTCTCCTCGGCCACTAGTTTAGTATCATTATCGTTGTCTGGCAGCCTTATTATCAGTTTCATCATAGAAAATGGCTGTCCGAACACAACTTTTCCCCCCCTCCCCTACTTTCACAGAATCTTCCCTCTCCTCCTTGAACTCCAGGGTATACATTATCACTGGTGCAACATCTGGTGTTGGTCTGGAACTGGCTAAGATTCTCTATTCCCGCTCAGCGATCGTGTACATAGCTGCACGCAACTATTCAAAAATCACGTCGGCCATAAAAGAGGTGCAGTCAGCGTTTCCAGATTCAACAGGACGTCTTGAATCGCTATGTGTTGACCTTTCCGACCTCACAAGTATCAAGCCTGCAGCTCAGCGATTTCTCGCTAAAGAACCAAGACTTGATGGCCTAGTGCTCAATGCTGGTGTCATGATGCCTCCTGAGGGTAGCAAAACCGAGCACGGGCATGAGTTGCAGATGGGCACGAACTGTTTGGGTGGATATCTACTCTCGCGACTTCTCGAGGAGCTTCTGGTGAAGACCACAGTGGTCGCAGACGAGGGAACTGTTCGAGTTGTATGGCTTGCAAGTACTCTTCAGATGGGCACGCCCAAAGGAGGCCTTGTCTGGGACGAGGTCAAGAAGGAGCCGAAAGTGGTCAAAGACCAGATGGAGAACTACATGATGAGCAAGGCCGGTAATCTTCTTTTGGCCCATGAGACTTCTCAGAGATTGGGACCTCAAGGAATTATATCAGTGGTGAGTTCGCCCCCATGGGAGTGAAAGTGCGATGCTGACGATGTAGGCTGTCAACCCAGGGTTCTTGAAGACAGAGCTTCAGCGTCATATGCCCGCACCCGTGTCTTTCATGATGGTAAGTGGAAATGCCACGTCTCGAGCAGATTCTGACGATATTTAGGGCCTCATGTTTAAGGAGCCCAGGTATGGAGCTTATAGTGAGCTTTTTGGACTGCTGTCGCCAGATATCACCGCAGACAATAACGGAGCCTTGATCTACCCTTGGGGTCGCATCGGATGCATCCCAGATGACATCCAGGTGTCTTTAAAGAATGGACAAGAGGGGGGCACTGGCCTCTCAAAAGCTTTCGCCGCCTGGTGTGAGAGAGAAACTCGTCAGTACAAGTAGTTGGTAGGCAAGCAAGGAGTACTTGGTTTGGTAGAGTGATTTCCATTTAGATCTAAATAGTCTCACACGGGTATCATGCCATAATTTATCCCCAACGCCGTTGTGCAAAAATCATGGTCTACTAGAATTCGTCCTTTTTCTCCCCAGTCCTTCGTTGCTTGCGACTGACCTGGTTTAGTCGTACGTCCACCACGACTGGCCTATGGTCGGAAATGAAAACCCCATCCTCATATCGCGAATTGACCACTGCAAAGGCCTTGAATTCGATGCCGGTCGGGTCGTGCACGAATATGTGATCAAGATACATGTCGTCCCATGGCACAGTTGTAAATCCAGTGTAAGTATATGACGAATGTCCGTATCGCTTACTCTGCGGGACAAGGCTCTTCACGTCGTTCATGGTTTTGGCGAGATGCTTGTAAGCCGCACCACTGGGGGAGGAGTTGAGGTCGCCGCCGATGAAGACTGGTATGGTCTCGCCGTTGTGTATAGACCAGTTCTCGGCAATATCAGTAATTAGTTTTGCCGAGTTAGCACGAGCCTTCTTCCCCTTATGGTCGAAATGCGTGCACATGTAGACCATGTGATTGCCCGTGGCGGTATGTTGAAAGCGCGCGACGGTAACAATCCTTGGGAATGCGGCGTCCCATCCCCTGGAACCAACTTTCTCGGGCGTATCGCTCAGCCAGTATGTTTTCTTGTCTTCAATATTCCAAACAGAAGGACGGTAGAAAATTGGGGAGAATTCATCACTTTGGCCGCCCCTGCGTCCGATACCATAGTAGTCCCACTCACTTCCCAGATCTTGCTGGATGTCTTGAATTTGCGGATACAATGCTTCTTGCATGCATACGATGGATTCCGGTCTTCCAGATGTTTCGTAGTTTATTTGGGCTGTTAAGCGTGGACGACGAACGGGCCATAATTCCTCGCCCCATTGGGGCTTTTTTGGTGCGAGGCGAATGTTGTAAGTGATAAGTCGAACATCAGTGCTTCGAGATAGAGGCGCCGCAGCCGCAAACGCAGCAGAGAGAATAAGAGATGAAAGCTTCATTTCGGGTTTATTGCGATGTTTTGTGGATGATAGAGAGAACCCCGTATGAGGGCTTTCGATCCCCAGCGGCTTTATGGTCGGTTTGATTTTTGGTATGTTGGTGTGGATGCGGGTGACGCAGCTTTACAGTCGATGTTGTCACTGGCAAGTCTCGGCAGCGACAACCAACAAACTGTAAAGTTTATTGAGACTGATGCAGATTCCAGTTTCAACATAATGAATTGGGCTTCGGGGGTGCCGGGACCTCTTGTAGGATACCGGCGGGAGGTTCGGGTTCACCCGCAAAGAATTCTATGACGATCACCAAGAACGAACAACCAGTGAAATCAACAGTGCCTGTAGCCCGCTCGCAGCGTCGTACGTACGCAATGGACGGGCCTCCGTGGCCCATGTACGGAGTAAGTGGCGTGCATTCGTCAGGTCCAAGATAAGCTTGGTTGGCTGTTGTTCTCATGGCTAGGTATTGGCTGAATCATTGGCATTGGGCTGCATCCCCCACAAGCCAACTAAGTTGGCACTATCTACTCCGTACCCGATCGACCCTTGACTAGGTAGGTAATTCTTGCACGAGGCACTTTGTAGGCTCTTGTTTGACGTTTTGTTCACTGTAACTCTAGGTAGTCTAGGGGAGGAAAGAAAACTCAGGACTTTGATCCCAAATGGCAAAAAGATTTAGGTAGATCTGCATAAATTTAGGATATTCTTTACCGAGTTTATTTTAACACCCCATATTAAGGTACAGTGGTTTCTTGCTCCCCGAGGGTAGTTACTGACTTGTATGTGCTGCAACTCTAGCATGATGCGCTATCACACCGTATCCTCTCAAGAGTTCCTCATGGTGTGGTCATGCATGATTCTGTTGGTCCAGTCAACGCTAACAGATAACACACATGGGCCTCGTCAGTGTTGTCTTACGGGCTCCGCAACATGCCAAGAGAATAAGCTCACAAAATGATTGATAATCTTTGAGCAACGGGCATATTATTCTCTTGTTCGGTGCAAGCAGCGAGCATCGGAGTCAATCAGTCCCTGGCAAGAAACCCCTCCCAGAAACTCGGCGGTCCAATTGCAACCCGTGTTGCATTTCTCATCCAAGTTTGCCCCCAGCTATAGACAGAATAAAGTTCACGCTATAAAGAGGAGAAATATGAGTATATGTACAGTATGTATGTACATATGTAGTTTCAAGCTCCCATGATTCAAGATGGCTGGTTCAAGTCTACAAGGTTATGCCAATCCCGAATTCATGATTCTTCCATACGTGCGCCAAGAGACGGGGCTTTTATCTATACGCCGAGTACGATTAAGAGGCATCGGTAAGTGGGTGTTCGCTAGCCCAACAGCGCACTCCTACGAAGGATCGTCGCCTGAGGTGAGGTAAGAAGGTGCTGACTGCATGAAAGTCTTAACTCCGTCCGATTGAATGATTTGACGCGTGTTCAGAAGACCTTGCACTTATTTGAGCCGTTGATTGCTTTGAGCTTTGGCTTCGTTATCGATGTCCCTGAAGGCTAGCGACCTGATACCATTACCTTGCGAAGCTTATGTTAGTCGAATCCAGTATGGCCATCAATGCCCATAGTTAGGTTACCTTGTATTGCCGCGGCCATGACATATCCCTTGCCAAACTGTGCAGTACTTGTTTCCGACCCAACAGGTGGTTCAGTTTTCTCAAGAAAACAAAACTTTTTATATGGTATGGAGCATGCTCATATGCTTAAAAGCCCCACAAGGTGGCTCAAACTTTCCCTGAGCTTTTGACCCCTGTTCTAGAACGCCTTTTGTAGAGAGGTGTGGAAGCTTTCAAGCGGGAACTGGGCTTCAAGCAACAAAACTTGGGCACATACTATTGTAAAACAGAGTGTTGGAACATATCTTCGTTGATCCATCGCAATGATTCAAGTTGAGATTTTATATGAGAGGCGTAAACTAATCTTCAACATGTTCATAACCCAACTTCAGGTCGGACGCAACCAGCCTCGCGATACCCTCATGCAGCAAGAGCTCTTGTAAAGGCCCGACTTTCGCTACCTTCAACAACCTTAGCCACGGGCATGAGATACGCATCTTCATATCCGCTATCTGCCTGCAGGTGCCGCACATATGCCTGTGCAACCTTGATCCAGCTCTTCTTCTCAGTAGCGCTCGATCCGCTTCCCTGCCAGACCCAAATAGCTCTTCCACCATCATCAAGCAAGAAAACATCGTCGCTTTCTAGATCATCATGCAATATGCGTTCGGCTTCCTTGATAAGACCGAACGAGAGTTGTCCCGATGCGTCACTGAGCCTGAATAGCTTCTTGGACGCTTTGTCAGTGGTGCAAGGAGTAAAGGGTTTCTTGCAGTGGAAGCCATCGCGGGGTGTTTCGTCATCGCCGCCGAGGAGATCGATAATTCGTCGGGATCGGGACTCGGTCTGTGCAATAACCTCGACTTCCGAGTGTTTTGCGACTGTCATATCGTGGACGATCTGAGCTGCCTTTGCCTTCTCCATTGGACTACAATCCTTGCCCTGCCACACCCAGATCTTGTCACCAACATCCAAAACAAAGACATCCGTGTCGTCTAGGCTTGTCCATGTGGGCTCGACTTCGTGAACAACAACTCCATTGGCGCTAGCAGCTGGGTTCTTAAACACACGCAGCAAGGTGAGCATCTGCTTTGGTTCCTCTTCCTCTTCCACGTGTCTGAACCCAGACTCAACTCCGCCAGACCGGATCGAAATTCGTGGGAACAGTGCTAGAAAGTCATCTGAAGGTGCCTCTTGAATCTCTCGGTGCTGGGTTGCCGAGCCTTTGAGGAACTCATCCAATTCGACAGCCTTGTACGCTGCGGTACCCGCTTCATCCTGTGATGTATGCTTTCCCAACCAAAAGAAGATGTCGTGAACGAGCTTCTCGGTACCATCATTACTGCCAATCAGTTCCGAGAAGAGTACGATAAAGCTATCGCCATCATAGAACTGGCCGTACTTTTCCTTTGGCCAAGGAATGACCTCGAATTGCTCAATGCGCCAGATAAGTAGCCCAGGCTCAACGCCAACTTTGCCATCATTCCAGGCTGGCTCCGTGAGCGCTGAATTGTACTTGACTTGATGGTCAATATCAGACCCGATCAGCTCCACGTTGCTATCCTTGATATCGTATTCCTTCAGATGAACGAGGCCTTGATTCGGTGCCATTTTTGTTTTGGCTAGGGTGAATGGAGTGTAAGAAGTTGTGGTAATAATGCTGTACTGATAGGTCTTGTCCCAAATGTTTTGAGGCGTTTGCAATTCTGAAACAAGCAAAGTCCTTGGCTGAGATGTCCTCTTTGTGTGAGATTGCTCCAAGCGGGGAGAGCATGTGCCCTGATTGGAGCTCACTTGACATTTGATGACTGATCAACGAGGCGCTGAATGAGACCTGACGATCTTTTGTTATTAGAACATGAATCAGATACAGTCGACAACAATCACAAGTCAGATATGCCTGGTCCCAATGAATCACATAGATCAATCCACATTCATTAACAGTACTATTATCCAAACAAGCCGAAGACTCCGCCATGCCATGACCAGCCCTATGCTTTTGATCTGCCAAGTTTATCGAAGATTGTTTACTACACTTCCCACCATCACAGCGACCTCTCGGTCCCAATTGACTTCCGTCTTCGTTCTAGCTTTTGATCCCGTCAATGCGCTATGTAACTGGGATCCCTTGACAACAGCCTGGCGGATTGCGTCTCCAACCGTGTTCTTATTAGTTCGTAGGGTTCTAGCTACGACACCCCCACGATTGATGATATCCTGCACACGCGTAGCGAGACTGCTGGCCATGGTCCTCCAGAAGAATGAGGCGAGACTTCCGGTCTCAAGATGGGCGAGAAGGAACTGAAGTAAGCTCGCTTGGGTCGGCTGGCTGGAGGTGGGGAGAAGAGGGTGGGCTGGAGGCTTTGTAGTCTCGAGGACAGCCTCGAGGGAGACCACGTTTTGACACTTGGCCATAACATCAGCCAAGGCCTTATCCAGTGTTGGTAGTTGGCCCAGAGAACGAGATAATGCCGTAATGCTAGCCTGTAGCGCCGATCGTATATAGGTTTCCAAAGACTGAAGCAGCAGCCTTGGAACCCATTTGTCGGGCTTGAACCCGGTGGTTGGCGATAGCAGGTAGAGTGCAGTCAAAGCAGATGCTGTCCGTGCCTTGATCTCTTCAACTTGTGCAAAGGTCGAGGTTGACTGCACAGAGAATTCGCGAATGGTGCGCTCCGCCCGCTCGCGAACTGATCGATCGATGGGGGTTACGACTGTATCCTGCAGACTCTTGACGGCGTCCACACGGTTGAGTCCAAAGCCTTCTTCACCGGGAGCTTTACGATCAAGTACTTCTCGTAGTGACACAATTGTGTAAGCACAGCGTACCAGGGCCCGATGGTCCTCCTTGCCGGTTCCGCTGTCGAGCTCCGAATGCTGAACCTCAAGCTGTCGACCAAGCTGCAAACATCGTCCAACCGAGCGGCCAAGCTTCAGGGTCTCCCATAACCGCAGAGCGACGAGCCTAACCTCGTCTGCCTCAGCATGTTTATCAATGACCTCCTTCTCAAGCTGGCGGTAGCTGTCGTTCAAGCTCTGGATCTGGCCATCCAATTCACCAACAATGTTCTTGGATGCTTGTGTCTGTTCCTGAGTATAATTGAGCAATGGGACGGCCGAGCGGGTCGTCAAGACATCTATATGCGAGTCAATCTCTTGAGCATCGAAAAGAACACGAGATAGGGGGGTAGAGAGGTCGAGTGGTGTATCGTTGGGGTTATTGGTCGAAACAACGAGCGTATTCGCAAAGGAAGCGGGGGAGAAATCAGGGTCGAGGAAGGTCTCATAGTCGATGTACGACGGCTCTTCGTCGGCTATGATGTCTTCTGCCATGTTATATATAGACGGATATGATCTCGATGTTGGCTCTCAATGTTACAACCGTTGACAGCTGGTAATGTTGGCGCAAGCTTAAAGTGTTCAATTGGCTCTTGGTGGATGTTCTGGAAGCTTGCTGGCCTTTTCGGGCATCGCTCTCCCGCAGGTACGTACCCTTCACCTGACCATTCTGTATCTCAGGCACTTGAAGCAAGGTCTTTGGCTTGGCGGCTCGGGCGGAGCAGAATGGATCCGTCTCATCGCCGCGGGGATTAAACGTGCCTACTAACCGTCCGTATGCACATTACAGTAGCAGCGGTATTAGCGGGAGAATTCCCTGTGCTTGGCACAGCAACCAATGAACACTTGAGCACGGAGCTCGCTACAGTGAGGTCATCACTACATGGGTGCTAGAAGTGGATAGACTCTGATGCCAGGTAATGGCATGATGCAGGTGCTTTGAAGAGTTGAATAGCCTCAGTTCTTAGCGTCTCTTAGCATGACTTGACTTCAAATGATGCTCAAGTTACTGACAGTATCTTCTTGTTATCAATGTTGATCCTTTTCGGGCGCAATCTTCATTTCCCGCGTATTCCGTGTCACAATATCTCAGTATGAGAGAATTTCGACATGCAAAAACGGACCGCCCGGCGTCTCCACCTCCACACCCTCGGAAATACGTACCCAGAAAAAAGATGACTGCCATCCACTCAGCCGCGAGTCGTTTTCCCATCGCAACGGCATGCCCGGCATATCCCATTGCCATCCAATCCGCATCCAACCAACGATATTTTGTTTTTCTTGATCACTTCCCTCCTGCTTCTCATTTCTTTCTTTCTTTCTTCCTTCATCTCGACGTCGTCGCATCTCTTGTTGGTTGAGATCTTCGTCGATTTGAGCCATGCCCTGATGCGTTCCGTTGTTGAATCGACTCTTTTCTACTGATTGGCAACCCTCTCGATTCCTCAAGGGTGAACTGCCCATATATACATAAGCAATTGCATCGCGACAACTACCCAGCATCTGCTCGATATTCGCTCGAGTCTCCCGTTTGCGGTGTTCTCTTCGATACTCGCAACGACCGTGATACCCTTCAGAGCGCATTTGGAGCCGACATAGCACGCACGCGCCTCAACCTCGACACCAATTGCCCAGCATGAATGGCTTGATCGAGGCCTTTGCCCATATCTCGGCTCGTGCCGTAAATGAATGGCCACAGGGTGACAAGGGTAACAGCAGCGACACCATTCTCGGCGGCGTCCACTTCAACCTCACGACCCTCAAGTACTTCAACTACACATTCTACAGCAACAACACCATCTCCAACAACTCTAAATGCTACCTGACCTTTGCGCCCTATACTCCGGCTTACGTCTTCCCGAACGGCACATGGACCAATGCCACTAAGTGCTATTCCGCGATCGAGAACATCAAGACTCGTGGTTTCGTCGGAATTGGATTCGCTGTTGCTTTCGGAATTGCTCTTGTTCTCAACCTTACTGTCCTGGCTAAGCATGGAAAACTCTACGTGCCACGCGATTCGCGCTTCTATCCCATCGGTCGTCGCTGGCAGTGGTATTGGGCCTTGTTCAGTGCGGCTGCGGCTCTTATCAGTCTCTTTGTCGGCATTGATATCGATCGATACTATCTCCAGGAATTGCCCATCACTGTCAATGTCTTCTTTTGGTACCTCCTCTGCATGGGCACCGTCGCTATGACTTGGGAAGCTGTTCGTCATTGGGGCTCCTGGCAGGAAAGGCAATATGTCGATCCTAATCCATTTATCCTGCGCGATGATGACCGTCGTTCCAAAGTTGAGTTTTGGTTACCGTTATGGTTTTACCTCTGGCTGTGGCTGAACTTTTTCATGGTGGTTCCCCGTAGCTGGAAATTCACCCAGCTACAGCACTCGGAGGAGCAGACATTGGCCAAGGCGGTCCCTGGAGCAACTAATACTCGATTCAAGGTTGGCGCCTTCTGTCTCGTGGTAGCCTGGCTCACTATCGTCTTTTCTCTCCATCACTCGATCAAGCATTATAAGCCCCGACACCGCGGTATCGTCAACCGCGCTGTTGGCTTTCTTCGATACATCCCTTTCCGCTTCTGGCTTATCATCCCTCTATCAGCGGCTACCATTGCGTATCAGGCCTTCATCTCATGGGAGTTTGACTACTCCATTGTCAAGTACAACGGAAACATCCCTGTGATCTACTGTTGGGGCTTCCTGCCAACTCTGCTCATCCTTTACATTCAGTATCTCTACGGTTTCTTCAGCCCTAATGAGGACAAGAGTCTGATCCGCAAGAGACGAGAGCGTGGTGAGATGATCAACCGAGAACTTGGCATCGTTAACAAGCCTGCCTGGTGGCACCGTGTCAGGGGTGACCATCTCCTCAGCTTCAAGGACAAGCTTACTCGCAATGTTCATGAGATTGGAGGTGGTAGAGCCACCGGTCGACGTATTGAAGGAGATGCGGAACGAGACCTGCGTGAGGAGGCTTTGGCTGCTGCCAGAGATGATGATATCGAGATGGGTCACATGCATCGCCCCCTGGACGCTTCCAACAACCCACGCTCTGATCGGGCTGGCACTGCTTCTATTAGCTCCAATGCTTCGCGATCGTTTGTCCAGCCGTACACTGGTAAGAATGAACGTCGCCGTCATGAGCGCAATATGGAAGCTGTCGCGGGTATTCTCTTCCCTAACAACCTCGCCGAGGACCGAGCTCGCCGTGAAGCGCAACTTGGACTCGACGGCCCCCCTCCGCCCCCTTACATGGACGGACAGGGTCGAGGTCGATCCTCCGGGCGTCCCGGATCTACCGGTCGCAGCAACAGCACCGAGACAAACAACTCCATCAATGCTCCTCCCCAACAAATCAGGAGTATGTTGGATATTTAAGAGCCGACGCGTCATGGTACTGTGAGCATTGATACTTATATGAGAAGTTTAGGATTGTTACTTCGCCCTATACTTTATCATGCTGGGCTTGATGAAGCAAAAAGAATCTATTACAAGGATAGTTGGGTACGAATTTGGGGTGTTTTTCACGGGATATTCTGCCAGCCACTTGCATTATACACCAATACTGTTAGATATGACTATGTACGAAAATCAATATGTTTAATGATATACTTTTAAGATATCTGTTCTGAGTCATCTTGCACTGAATGACATAATGGGTAAAGAGCTTGAATCCCGAACTGATAAGAAAGTTCAATGCTTGGGTGTGAATGAGCTGGGCTTGAGAGTACGATACCCATGCTATCATGTTAAGCCTTTCTGTATAAGTAATTGTATAACAATGAAGAAAAAAAACTCACCTATTACGCTAATAACATTAATTTGATGCTCTAAAAAGTCGCGCATCTTCCTATGGTGTGTTTTACAGCAAGATACGTTAGGTATCAAACCAGGTTACCCTACAAAACCACTAACCGAACAATGGCCAGAATCTGAAAGAAGCTCAAGGTTTGCGATAAGTAATCCAATTTCTAAGTATCTGTAAGAACAGTGTATAGGAGCCACCGTATTTTATCTAAAAAGAAACCACCCCACGCTGTAGCTGAAGGTTACTCCATGTCAATCGCGGGGCAGACCATGTCGAAGCATCAACAATACGATTTGGCAAGGACCCTGGGGATCGACACTAAAACCGTCATGATGTCAGCTCTTACTACATCTGGAGTATCAGTAGCTTAGTATGCAGGATAATCACATGCGGGGATGCTCCCCAGCTGAAGGCGATAAACTACTTGGCGTTGATCGCGGAGCCTCAAAGCCAGGTCTAGATGTGAGTGGTGAGGGCACATGAAGGGTGGCGTCTAGAGGTCATCATGCAACACTTCGGGCTCCAACACACAGATAAAGTCACTAGATATGCAGAAGGAATATCGCCTCCGCAGAGGTGCCCTTAAACAGACACGGTATGAAAGCAATACTTGTTCAACAGTACGATTTACCATAACTCCCCGAATGGAGCATGGGAGGGGCAGTCAGCACGAGCACACCAGGTTGGAGGCACCGAAGAGAACCGAGAAACAGGTCTGATAAACAAAGAGATTGGACGTGGGCACAGAACCGAGGAATGATGGGCCCTCAAACTTGGGCTACACCTCCGCACAATATGCGATAGGGATAGTTAAACTTCAAGGGTTGCACAAGAAGATCGTGAATCGAATCATGAGGCTTTGACGTACATACCTACATGCAACCACGCATGCGAATGAGGATACCTGCATGGAAGGCCCATGAGGTGCATGCAATCATGATGTGTAGGAGCCATGTGTTAAGGACAAGTCGGGTTCAGAACCCGACCCTCAAGAGGAAGCCCAACCAACTAGGGTTAGCTGCATTCAGATCCAGGTTCAGCTTCACCATCGCAGGCCAGTTGATCTGAGAATCGACTTTGAAGGTCAACCAGTGAGTGAGTCTGAGGCGATGAGAGGCATGTGGGTAGAAGATCCACCAGAAGCAGTTAAGGCCTCCGAATTTTGGGTTTGAGCATAAAAGAGCGGTGTAGGATCAAAGGCCCAAACGAGAGAGGTTAAAGACAAGACGAGACAAGTTAAGGACAAGACAGGCAATTGCCAAATGCTGTGGGCCTCTATCGGGCAATAGTGCTAGCATGGCCACTAGCATGAGGCTTGGAAACAAAGACAATTCAAGACAACATGAAATTGACGGCCCATGTGGAAGGTAACGAGACAATTAGAAACTCCCAAAATTCCAGGACAAGGCAAAACATTGAATAGCGAGGTTGGGAAGGATGAAGGGTCCAAGGCAAATTCGAGATATCTCGGCTGGCAACACATACTCGAAATCGACGAACAGAGTGGATGGATCTCGTTGCAGGTTCAGTCAAGTCGCAGTCCCTTGCTTCACCGGTCGCCCACCTCCCGGCCCGTGAGTGATATTCCCCTGCTTCTGGAGGGAGTTGTCACATGGGTGTGGTCGGAATAAGCGGACGCGGGGCTCAACTGCGTATCCCCCAAAAAGGAGTCAGCAAATGTCGTCGTCAACGACAAGTTGGTGTGCAAGCCAGCACATGGAGGTTAGGTCAAGGGTGTAAGTGTGACATCCTTTGAGACCATGTTACTCTGGTGGATAGGTCTGTCGTCAACCTGCGCCGTGCCTTGCATTTGGTGGCATTGTTGAAGACCAGGTCAGAGGCTAGGATGAGGGCTCAGACAGTAGTCTCAGGAACGATTAAGGTACCATACATATCAAGTGAGATGACTTTTTACACTGGCTGATAAGAGGGATATCGAGAGTCATTGCGCTTCACAGGCATACGCATAGTATTCGATAAATTGAAAGAGGCGCTTGTTTCCTAGCAACCAGCGGTTGGAAACAACTAAAAGGCGGTAAGCTGGTCTGTGGCTCATCCATTCCTGAGGAGCAAGCTTCTGGCGAATCCCCGTGTCCATGCTATTTCGGGAAGAGAATGTTTCGTACTTGGTGCCTGGAAGTAGCACTGAAGGTAAATCCATCCAGAAGCTCGAGGCTGGACAGACGTGGCAAACCTTCAGTATGGCTCGTCATGATATGTATGAGCCAGGCGGCATTGAGTTGAAGAAAGACCCTCAATGTTGATCCTCAACGCCAAGTGGAGCTGTCAAGGCGACGAGGCGCAAACGGCGGCTGCTTTAGAGGCGGCTGGTTGCGTAGTTTTAGTGTATATGCAGGTCAATTCTCGCATCTCTATCGTGATCCTTGGTAATTACCGATGCGAGAAAACGGTATTAAGCGATGGGAGAGAACTCAACTCAAGGGCGAGGTGTGCATCTGCTGGGTTGCCTGTCCAATTTTAGACCTTCCCCAGGTACCCGAAAACACTGAGACAAGCAATACCCCCATTCAAGATCTGGAGGCTGAAAGAGGACAACGAAGAAAAAGAGGCTGGAAGTCTAATGGTCACCGCTAGTTGACTGGATTGCCACCAAGAACCAAGGTACCGATGGAATTCGAGAACGGGCATCTCTTCAAACGCTGGTCCCAGAAGCTTTGCTAAATGTCCGATTTCGAGTGCTTGGCGTTGTGGGCATGGTTATCATCCTCATTTCTCAAAAGCCAAACGAACAAAGAGAGCATTAGAGAAGTTCAAGGGATACAGTAGCGCTGCTGCATCTGAGCCAATTAAAGGATGAAAACGGACAGACAGCGGCTGACAGGGTTTCTTAGATCATCGGGATGTGTCGATAGCATCCAAGGGAACCCTGAATCATGCAGGACAGCAATAGTGGGCTGCAACAATAATCGTAAGCAGTCGAATCAAATGTGACCTGCCTACACAATAACGATATCGAGTTTGGTGGTGGATAGTGCTAGAAGATGTCTCGATTATTTTCCACCGTCAAGTGCTCATCTTTTTTTGGCCGGCGACATCCCACCTGCTTGCTTATCTCTTATCGATAGACGGTCACACGGCGCACTGATGACGGGAAGGAGGGGGACGTGCATGAGCGATAGACAGAGGGGGTGGGGTAGTTACCGTCTCTAGCTTTAGCTCCGGTCTAAGGTACAGTACTTTATGTAAGGTAAGGTAGGTAGGTAGTACTTAGTGGAGGGGCGAGGGGTTCAACAACGATGAGACGGGAAGGAGGGGTCGAGTATTCGAGGCAGTGGAGGCTACCTTAGGTTAGGTGGCTCCGGGGAGCAACAAGACTTCTCGACAATGCCAAAGTTCACTGGTCTTAAGATCTGGAAGATACCTGAACTGAGGTACCTCAAGTCTTTTCATCGCCAAAAGCAGAGGCTCTGAGTTTTTCTTTCACGTCCAGTCCCCTTATATTAGCGTTGTACGTCCTGCAAGGTACTTACTTTCAGTTGAGTGTGAAGGTTCTGTCCGTACCTCTGCTTCTTAGCGGCTCCATCCAAGGAGAGAGCCTGTAGGTCACAGCTAAAATTGACAACTCAGATCAGAAGCACAGCAAAAAAGGCGCGAAACGAAACGAAGGAACCAAACAATCACGGAACTGGCCGCCTCGGAAAAAGAGAGCCTTCATGGCTGGAAGACACACAGTATCCATCTCAAGGACCCTTCATGGGATACGCCAACTAACCACCAAGGACTCTAGAAACCTTCTTTAAGTTGAGGCCTAAAGCCAATTTCAACCAGCCGTCCTATCGCCGACGTCTTCCAAGCCTCAAGATTACAGTAGATCGAGGCGAGAGAGACGAAGTCGATCATTGACCGTACATATGGCATTCCGGGATTCATGGATCATGCAAGTTCCATGGCACAGCAGCGTCTTGTCGCTGCTACACGGAGAGTATGGGAAGATGCTTGCAAGATCACAGATCATCGTTCATCGGTGGACGACTAGAATCCTTCCATTCGCACATCAGGTGAGCATCTTGTGAGCCTCGAATTGTAAATGCATTCCTTTCAAGCTGCATGCGCAACGTCCAGCCAGAGCTTGCAGAAACGCAAATGTGAGCCATGTTACTCTCTCCGCACGCCTTGGCTCTGCGTCGTGCGCCTCATTTATGCGAAGAATTGGCGTGCGAGACAGAACCTTGAACTCGTCGGACAGATTCTGTTGCATCGGCTTCTACACAGTCGATTAGAGCCAGATCCGATATTGATGCGATGCTTCATTGCTGTGCTCCAGCCTCCTGAAGGGTTCATGTGGCCAGTAGAGCTTGGACGACTGATCGTTCTTGGCTATGGGATGAATGAAGTACCTGGTTCTTGACCACGCACGATCCACCAGGCACGCTAGATCCATCCGCAAACATACACCGCCGTGAGATGCATGCAGGCAAACACTTTGGAGGCACCTGCTGTTGGGCCTGCATTGAGAGAACCAGTGTGCTGGCAATCGACCCTCAGTGCGTCATACGAGGTCAGCATTGAGTTTGTCCTGACTTGTACGGCATCTTCGGAATCAGTGGCC